TCTCTCTCTCTCTCTCTCTCTCTCTCTCTCTCTCTCTCTCTTCCTCTGCTTCTCTAGGGACATCTGCTGCCGCAGCACTGTCACCAGCAGCCCTCCCTTGTTAGGAATTCCCTCAATTACTATGCAATGCGACGTGTGTGGCTAAGAGAGAGGGCGAGGGGTGGGGGAACGCCTCCGGCTAGAGAGAGAGAGGGGCGTTCCGACATCCCTTCCTATTTTCTTTGCGTCGAATTAGGCAATAGTTTAAACTTGTCCGGTTTGTACGCTTCGTCGCTTGTTACCTGTCAGTAAACTTCACCTGGGGTAAGAGCGGGGAAGAGTAAGAGTACGGCTTACGGTACAGTGCAATAATACGAAGCTGTGAGAACTGCAATATCGGCCATCTTACACTTGCTGAAACAAAGCGGGATGCATAGCAAAATTGTGAAAATGAAAATGAGAATAAGAGAAGGTAGAAAATACAAAGCTTTGCTGGAGATACGGATGGGCGGTGTCCCGGAGCGGCTGTCTGCCCGTTAACGTGTGTTTCATGATACCTTTCGGACCGGTGTGGACTCGCCTGTCCCTCGACGTTGTTTCCACAATAATTAGCATTTCGTATATCTCGCCTTTAGCTATTTATCTTTCCTGTCACCCATTACTTCTCTTTATTGAGTTAAAAATTTGTTCTTTTTTGCGTTTGTTTCTCTGGCATTGTATGTGTGTGTCTTCAGAAATAATACTTTACTGTCCCTCTCGTTAGAACTTGTTGTTTCCTTTACCTTCTGTCCTCAGCTAATGTGCTGTCCATGATAAGTACTAGTGCAGTTGATATTTCGTTACTTCAAAAAACAAAACAAAGGAAGAAGAAAGTGCCCATCAACGAAAATTACACACTGCTGGATCGTCTTCAGCGGCTGTGGGAAATTAAACGCACGTTGTGTTGCTCCTCTTTATTTTTTGGAAGGCACTTCTTTGACTGTCCCTTTTCCATTTGGTTCCTACCCCGTTCACTGGAAACCATATCGCGACTTTCTCTTTCTCCTTACCTGTGGCGTGCTACGGTGGCCGGACGACAAAAGATGTGCAGGGGACACAATTGATTTGGTTCTCGGCAGGGTGTCCTATACAGACAGAATCAGGGCAGAAAAGGGAAAGTTGTCACTTACCGCAACCCCTTTGCTTTACTTTTTCTCTTTTATTAGTCCTCACTAAACGATTAACATTCACTTTCAATTGTGCACGGCCCACAAACTGGGCCGCTCGCAGTCAGTGTCGTTTGGATGTGTAGCTCGCCGGCAACGACCTCGGTCTGTAAAACGACCCCCGCTCGTTGCGAGGAAAGTGGACAATATGTCTAAATGCGCTTGGGCGGTGACCTTGGCCCAGCACATGTGCGTCGAGGCCCAGACCGAGGCCTGCAGCTTCCTGGGTCGAGGCCCAGCCGCCGGCGGCGCTGGCCGCGTCCTCGGGGAGGCCTCCTCGGCTGCCGACGGGGCGGCGCCCGCCACTGTGAGCCGCGCCCGGCCGCACTCGCTGCGTCCCGCTCGCCTGCAACAAAAATTAACAGAAACGCGCTCAAGAGACCGGACCGAGCGAGACATATTTTTAGCTGTTTTCTAGAGCCGCGCTCTATCGATGAGTGTCCTTCCCTACCCGATTTTAAATCTTTTGGTATTTTTGAAGACACAGTGAAAACGTGCTGCCGTACGAAAAGAACAAAAATTCCTCTAAATATGCCGTGGCAATTCAAAATTTACAAGAAACAAACAAATTTATTTCTGTCGTTGTTTTCTTTTTGTAATTTTTCCCAAGTACTTTGTCGAGTCTGAGCGTGACTCCGGTGGTTCTCCCTTATCGATCCCCTTTTTTTGAAAGCCCTGCCGCCAACCGCAGTCGGCGCACACCGCCGCAGTCACACGAGCGACCGTGTGATAATGCCGCCATATTACACGGCGTATAACGCAACGCTAAGCGACCAGTCGGGATGAGGGGAGGGGGGAGGGGGGAGGGGGCGTTCACTGCGTGTTAAATACCTTACGACCGGCGTTATGATGACGCCCGTTGAGGTTAGGTCCGGCTGCCCTGGCGCGCCCCCGCGGCGGCCTCATCCGGAATTAACGCTAGGGGCGCCGGTCGGCCGGTGGCGCCCCCCTGCGCCCGGGGCGCGCACTTGGCGTTGGGTCCTGCTTTGGCGTCTGGTCGCGGGGCGGCGTGGGGGTGCTGAAATTTTGGACTCTCGTCTCGAGTACAGAGAGACGCAACTGTCGAGAGGACTTCCTCACGCCACGTGAACAGAACGGAAAAGCGACTTGTATACTAGTGCTTACAGGAATTAAGCTGCGGAGAAAGCAACGCACACTGTACACTGTACAACTATATTCGTGTGTTTCTGTGCAATTGTTCGCGCAAAGTTTAACCACTCTGTGTCTCGTTTTGGACAGATTTGTGTGCAATAAACGGATGATATAATTGCACAGAAGTGTTCAAATCGACGCAAAGAAATGATTTCAAAGAATCTTGACGTCATGTGTTCGACATGTGTCTTTTTTTCAAGTATTCTTGAAGCAGAAGCGGAACAGTGTAACTAAAATGATACTGTACCGACCGGCGGTGTTTAGTTTTCCGACCCCAATGTTTACCTCCGCGGCGCCATCGTGCAGCGCTGTATCGTCAACATCTAGCAGCGCTGTATCGTCGATATCGCAGCCGCCAACGCCGGTCTGCGCTGCATCGCCCTGCTCTTGTTTATTTTATTTTCGCCTCGTTTAGATAGTCTGGGAAATAACACTGCCCGTCATTCAATTAATTCTCTTTTTTCGCCCATTTTGACGCTCAGTTTTATTTAACTGAACGCGTGGAGAGTGAAGTGCACACGAGGCTTTCATAAATTTTCCCGTTGCGTGTGCTGAAATTTTAATGCTTTTTATGAAAGAAACAACTGACCCACCAGATGAGCCGTAGCGCTTCAGATAAGCTCTGGCGTTATCTATAGCCGTTGTAAAAAAAATTAAAACATTGAAATAAAATTTTTACTCGGATTTGGCAGTATTCTGAAATAGGACAGACGGCGGAGCGTCGGAGGGCTAACGTAAGGACGTCACGTCGTCTTGGAATCGGAAACGCAATCGGAATGAACGACCCCTGAGCTGCATCGCAAGGAAGACCGTACCGGCGGATCAAATAATACAGAGAAGGGAAAAAGGGTCCAGCGGAGAGAGAGAGCTGCCCCTTTTCTTCCCGCCTCAGAAAGAAAACGACGGCTCCCGATGAGGACGATTGCCTGCCTGCCGTTTCGCTTTGCGATGGAGGGAGGACGGTGCAGAAAAGAAGGGGGAGGGGTAGCATCGCCGGGGTGAAATATGTCATTCCCTTGTCACAACTGCGCTGCCGATGGCGCGTCCGAAGCCGTCAAAATAAGTGAGAGACAGAGAGGGAGAGGGGGGCTGCGAGTGGGTGCGAGTGAGAGGCGAGAGTGCGAGAGCGAACAGCGCGGAGCAGGGCTGGCAACAGACGACTGGGGCGCCACCCGTCTAATATCGCTGGGCCAATATTCGCCAGGGTGTGGCGGGGCGGGGTGGGGCCCGAAGGCACGGGGGCGAAAGCAGCAGCGACGCTCATTTCGTTAGTTTGCCCTCTTCGGCCCCTGGAAAAGGTCACAGCTGGAAGAAAGCGCGTGGGAAAGAAAAACGTATCGGGTTTTGCGGTATTTTGTTTTTAGTTGTTCTTTGACGCCTTATTCGTAATTTTTTAACTTGTTAAATTTCCAACCGAGCAGACGCAAGGTTGCCGAAAAGAAAGGTTTTAAACCGTGCGATGTTTTTTGGTTTTTAGTGTTTTGCTTGAGCAGATATTTAACGGTGTACGCCAGCGGTGGGCTGCGGAGGGAGGCTCTACCACCCCTGCGCGGCCCAGCGGTGAAGGAGGGGGGAGGGGACGCCTGCCTGTCTGGGGAGATTGGGTGGCGGTGCGTAGCGGGGGGAGGCGGGCGGTGGGGTCGCCCGGTGGGGATGAGCGGTGAATGGAGTATTCGCGCGCTGCCAGAGAGAGAGAGAGAGAGAGAGAGAGAGAGAGAGAGAGAGAGAGAGAGAGAGAGAGAGAGAGCGAGAGAGACAGGGTGAGGTGGTGCGGTTTCAGAGCGCAAAGCCTCACAGCGAAAGTGGACACTGAAAGCTTTTCAGTACTGCCAACAGGAGTATATAATAGTGTCGAAATTAAAATGGGCAATTTATTTCGCTCAAAAGTGGTTTGCCAAGGTCATCCCCCTTTTGCCACCCTGTATGGCCTGCGCTTCAAGTGCACCGGCTTCGTTTGCATAGGAAACAGGTTTCTAGTGGGCGATGGCGGTGGCCGTTGCGAACTCTACGTGGTACTCTGTTAAAAAACAAACTTCACAATTTTTTCAAATTTTCATTAAAATTCAACACGTTTTGTTGCATGAATGTGTTTTTTAGGTTTCACTTTATTGATTTATTTTCCCTCTTTTTTCAGTGATGATGTGCAGTGCCACCGCACTGACCTGCGCGACAACACCCACGCCGCGGTAAGTATACATACGAAATACGATAGGGATGACAATGGCCGCGCCGTCCGAAAAAACATTTTTAAGAAAGCAGGACAAAGAGGAGGAACTAGATACTCTCCCTAAGAAACCTTTTCAATTTCGGTGGCCTGCACCTGGACCACTGGAGGGCGCCTCCAGTGGCGCGGCCTCTCCCGCCCTCTGTCGCTCCCAACCACCGCCACCGCCACCACCACACCACAGGCCACGGGATATCTTGCACTATCTTATGGAACAGGATGTGTCAGTTTAATCCCGAGTGGCGGCCTGGCGGAGCCACGCTCTGCTGGCGTCCGAAAGGCGGGCGTATAGGGTGCGTCTCTGTCGCACTCTGCGCGTCCGGCCTGGCTGGAGCGACGAGGACGGGGCGACATATCGCCAGCAGCTCGGGGGGCTGGACCTCCAGCCGGCTGGGCCGTCCTGCTGTCCAGGAGACTTTGTGCGGCCGCCACGGGACGCGCTGCCGGGCAGGAGCCTCGCCTGGTGCCCGGGGGAGGGGCTTCTACAGCGGCGGATGCGTTATCCAGCCGTTGGGGTGTTCCATCCCGAAACTATCCCTTGCAACAAAACGCACAGCGTACAAGACACAATCGCCAAGAGCATTAAAAGCGGCAGTGAAAGAACGAAACAATTGTTTGATTGAAAATAATGATGGTGGTCGTTGCTCTTGTCGTTTTTTGTTGTGTTTTTTTTCGGGAAGGGTCCATAGGCCGTCATGGCGTGTTTTAATCAGGAGATGCGGGACGTGCCACTCCTGCTGCACCGTCAGATGTACTCAATGTCCGTTTGCTCCAACTGACGCCGAGCCGGACTGAGCCGAGCCCACCTCGTGCTGCCCGTGCGTCCGCCTGCCTGACCGCCTGCGTGGCCCCCGCCCGCCGCGCCCCGTGCGCCTGCCATACACTTGCTTCTTTATCGCCGGCTGTCCTGGTCCTTCCCCCTCTCACGCTCCACGCCCCCACCCTCAGCTTTCATTCGTCTCTCTCTCTCTCTCTCTCTCTCTCTCTCTCTCTCTCTCTCTCTCTCTCTCTCTTTCTCTCTCTCTTTCTCTCTCTCTTTCTCTCTCTCTTTCTCTCTCATTCTCTTCTCTCCCCCTCCCGCTCCCTCTCGTCCGCCCTGTCTCCCTCTCTCTTGCCCTCTCACGTTACTGGCTAAATCGAACGCAGCCTTACGCCGGAACAGAAATGCCGCCTACGAAAAACATGCTTCTAATTATTCAGAGTAATATATATTCACACAAAACGTCGCTAGATACCACTTTGTTAATCGCGTGTCATTTTTTTGTTTTTCATTTGCCCAACGATGAACCGCGGTATAACTGATAACTGATAACCTTGAACCTGGGTGTATTGGTGGATTAGTCGGACGACGAGCAGTCCAACGCAGTTCAGATATCAAATGCGTATGTCTTTTTGGCTTAAAATTGAAAATTATTTAGTTTTTTTTACGGCTGTATTGAAAGTTATTTCCTCGACTTCGGAAAACTTTATGACATAACTGAAAATCTCTGGTCTGATTTTATTCCAGTCGAATGTTCAAAGCGTTTTGACAGTGTGCTGGTCCGGCGCCAGGCGCACTCTAAAAAAAAATACAGAATTCTGTATCAAATTTGATACAGAATTCTGTATCAGCCTCTTGTGATATGGAAACATGTAACATGGGTACAAAATTCTGTAATCTGATCAAAATGTTACAAAATTCCGTAAATGTTACTAATTTCTGTAACAGATACATGATCAAGTAACGTTGGATACAATTTTCTGTAACCTTGGATACAGAATTATGGAACTTCGTTGGCACGGTCTTCGGGAGCCCCGGTGGCATTACACCGGGTTCCAGCGAACCTCTCCTCAGGTAGCTTGGGTGGTCGCGCGGGTAAAGGCGCGACTTCCTAATCCAAGGGTCTGGGGTTCAACTCCCGGTGCGGCAAGGTACATTACTTGAAATGAAATCGAAGGACTTAAGTACCATAGAAAAAAGAAGAGGGGGAAAGGGAGGAAGAGTAACAAAATTAAGAATTACAATTTTAAAATCCCAAAGATGTTCTGTATCAGGTGATACAGATTTTCGTATCCATGATACAGATTGAAATCTGTATCAAAAATGATACAAATTTCTGTAACATGTGAAATGTAAATTACTGCGTAACAATGTTACAGAATTTTGTACTGATTTTTTTTAGAGTGCGGCCTGCACCACTGGCTGTATTCAGCGATAATTATGAAGTATTTCCCCCTGAGTGCGTAAATCTCTCGGGTAGCAGTGTGCCGGGAGCCCGACACTCGCCCTCAAATTAGCTTTATATGGCCTCGTTTCGCAGTAAATTCATATCTGTCCAAGCGATAAGCACGAAAAGGATCACTTTATATGGGGCCGTTAATATTAAAGATTTGCGCGCGCTTTATAGTAGTTCGCCCCTTTGGATTTTGTATCTGTGATTGATTTTATAACACCACATTTTATCGTACCGCAAGGAGAAATGCCCTGGTTTTATTAATTTTGCTTCTGCGCATATTTCTTTTGATTCAAAATTTTTTGGTTCGCGGGCGTGTCCTATCGGTCAATAATCGAGCATCCGGCTTGTGATGTATGGCGAGATTTTAGTCTGTCTGCGGTCTGTGAGGCTGCAGTGTGCGAGGGTCGTTGGTGGGAGGCGTTCGAATCTCCCGCGCGTTCACTGTCTTCCCCAGGAGCGTCGTGAGGCGAGTGGCCGCCGCCGACTCGGACGCGACCGGAGGAGGCTTGGCTAAAGGCAGCGCTTTGCGTTAGTTTATGGATGGGGCAGCCAGAGCTATACAGGAGCGAGAATTTAGTATGAGAAAACTGCGTTTTCAGGAGGCGATTGCGGCGCTCATTCAGGCCATTTTGTTGCCACCTCCTCTTCCTCTGCGTACGACGCGCCACCGCAGCCGCCGCCCAGGGCGTGCCGCCATGTGCCCATCCCAAGCCACCCTTGGGGTCGCGGTTTCGGTGTGCAAGGATGTTTGTCGAGAATCGCATTTGTGGCAGCTGAATTACCGTAAGCTACACTGTAATATGTGTCTTGTTCCTCAACGAACTTTGGTTGATGAGTTCTTCAACGAAAGCAACTTCCTTTAAAACGAAAAAAAAAATGGTACCAGTTGAATGTACACGTTTTAGCTATTATGTTGCTGTATTTGGGTTTTACTCCTCAAACTTGTCCCAAACAAAAGGACAATTAAGTTCGGTCTCTAACAAAAACTAACAAAAACAGCTGTATTTCAATAATTAGCTGAAAATGTCGTTTCAGAACAAGTTTGTGTCGCTGTGTAATCATTTAAAATATATGGCGGCTTTGAATGAAGAAACAACTAAGAAATATAACATTGTAAATATGGAGTATATTCGAGAACGAGCTTTTCTGGGTGTTATATTAAATAACATTAACAGATTACTTACAGGTAATGTTTTTAAAATAAGAGAGAGGTGGCTTTTTAAGACTATTAGCCCCCGCACCCATTCTGACAGTGCACTCATGTCAATACCCTCTTTCCTCGCTCCCCACTCCCGACAGTGAGAGGCGGTCACGCGTAGCCGCAAGCACGCTCTCGCATTTACATTGCATGGTCCTTAATGACCCCCTCTATGGTCCTCTCTCCAGTTTCTTTAACGCGTTGTTTGGGTGCCGTAAAAGAGCTGCACTGGCGGCGTACGCGGACCATCGTGGGATATTTTAGAGCGGGGGTAAAAAGAGGGAGGGGGGGGGGGGCGCTGTGTCTGCTGCTGGCTGCTGGCGGCACCTGGTGGTGGCAGCGCGAAGTACGCTTACGCCCCTGTCGCCCCCGTCCGGCCGCCGAGAGTGTGTGGGTCGGACCGAGGTACACCGACAGAAAATACGGAACGTATCTTTGGTACACCCTACCACATTATAAAAGGTCGTTCTATTTACAGTAATTACCTTTCTCAGCGTAGCGGTCGTTTCTTAATCCACTTCGAAGATGCGCACTGCAAAAAATTATGACAGGAAAACTACAGATCGTCCTGCTAATTATTTTCCAGGAACTTCTGTTATTCGAATAACAGCATCGATGTAGTTTTAATGGTTAAAATTTGGTACAGGGAGCAATGTACAGGACCACTGTAAGGCAAAAGCGCGGACAAAACTGTCTACAGTGGAGCCGTATTCGTACACTGTACCGTGTAAATCCTGGGCTTTCCGGTGCTACAGCAACACTGTACTACGCGCTCTGTACCCTAGGTGCAGTGACTAAGAGCGGCATCTACAGTAACGCTGTAGATCGTTCTGTATCAGACTCTAATTTTTTGCAGTGCGGTATTTTGTCCGTTTTCCTGTACCTTTCCGCATAGAGCGCCCCAGTTAAGGCATGTGCACTTTGTGTCACAGCATCGTAAAAATATCGTTGTTCTTAAAGAGGCGTACCATCAATATCGCTCGCTCGCAGTTGATTAAATTGATTTTACAAAACATATTACTTCAAAAACGGGAGAAAAGTCAACCGCACAATTTGCGTTTTTTTTTTAACGGCGCCAATCTCGATTTTTTAATGTATAGTGGCAGTGCAGCGGGGAGGGGGGGGGGGTAGAGGTGGCATGACTTGTTTACTGCATAACGCCGCACGCATACAGTATGCAACCTTGTACCGCAGCCGTGGCCACTTGTCGAGTAATTCATGCTTAGCTTATGAGTTATAATCTTCCCTCCTTCATCTTTCTCAAGACTTACGCCCTCCTCTCACGCCCTTCTCTCTTTCCCTCTGCATCTCTTTCTCTCTTTTTCTCTCTCTCCATCTCCCTTTCGCGGCTCTGCAGTCGTTGTAATCGCAATTCACATCACCCCGGCCGCGCACGTGACCGACCACACTGTCATGCAAATTTTTCATCCCCGTTTTCGCTTTGCGGCGTGATGTACACTGCTTTAAAAGTATCGCATGTATTCCATATCCACTTTAAAAAATTGTCGTACCTGGTACAGGAAAATTTTCCATGGATAAGTCGAACAA